GGGGGACGGTGGCGGCTCTGGTGGCCTGGCTGCCTTCCTCTCCAGCACGCCTACGTGCGGGGCTCTCGCGCAGGGGAGAGCTTGCTTTTCTTGTCACAAGAACCCCTCTGCGGTCGGTGTTGTGCCAAGCTGAAGCCATGCAGCACACTGGCTCGTTCCAGTTTCTGGTCCTCCTTTTTCCTGGGCTGATCGTGGAAGTGCTCTGCTCAGGCATCTCTGTCCAGACTTAAATTCCTGTATCCCTCTGTTTCGCGTGTTCCTCTCTATTAATCCCCACTCTGGCGCAAGGCTCAATTCATATAGGTTTCTCCCCTCTTCTCCCATGTCAGGTGCTGAGAAGATGGCCTCCCCAGGTGCCCCAGGGACCCGCATGACGTCCACAGTCAGTATCAATATTTCTACCCCTTCCTTCTACAACCCACAGAAGAAGTTTGCACCGGTGGTCGCCCCTAAGCCCAAGGTGAACCCCTTCAAAGCTGGGGGTGCGTCAGAGCCGTCGCTGCCCCCACCTCCTGGAGCTGGCGCCCAACGCGCTCAGATGGGGAAGGTGGGGGAGATTCCATCAGCGTCCATGTCCCTGCTGGCAGAAGGTAGGTGAGGGCTGCCGCGGCAGATGTGAGTGTGCATTTCTAAATTCTCAGGGTGTGAGGTCTGTAATTTGGGCTAAATGTGAGAACAGGGGCGTAACTGCTGGAAGCGATGGATAGTCTTGCTGTAGAAGCTGGCAGGTTCCAGAATGAGGTAAAATGATTGTAAAGGGATCTCAACATCCATAGTATCTCCATTAGGAAAGGGGCCAGGAAGGCTGTGTTCCACTGATGCTGGACAAATGCAATGGATTTTTCACAGTATTCCCTGAGTGCATAATTGTGTAACTGCAATCAGTTTCTGGCCAGCGTGTCTGAAAGCAAATATGTTGCAGGGAAGTTGACCCTGATGGTGAGGAATCATGCTATTCTCCTTGTTGATTTATCTCGGCTCAAATTGGTTGTCTCTGACTGTAGAGATCCTTCTTGTGGACTCTGCAGTTGCCATCTTTGCTGCTGAAGATGGGGAGGAAGAAATAGTTGCATGAAAAAAATGGTGGAAGCTACCACAAACAGGAAGTGAGACTTAGAGTTTGGATGGCTTGTTTTACGCTTTCTTTTTTATACTTTTTGCTAGTGGTTTGGGTTGGGTGTGTTTTCCTGTGTAGGATGACTTCTCGCTTTAGTGTGGGGTGTTTGTTTTTTTTAATTTCCTGTGGTGGGGTGGTTTTTTGTTCGGTTGCTGTTGGTTGGTTTTGTGTCCTCTAAGAAGCAGCAGGTTCCTGGTTGTGTGGCTCCCTAGCTGGAATTGATCAGCATGGGGCCACTGGAAGTTTCCCTAGGACCTCTTGCTAATGCTTGGTGCTGCATATTAACCCAAGACTCTGTCAGGGTGTACCTCGGTCCAGACACGCTTGTTCAGATAATAACTACTGTTTTAAATTTCTTCCCTTTCACTGTCTAGCATAGGCTGTGCAACACTGGTTTTCTAGGTTAGTGTGCTAAGTGACCTGATGGCAGGAAGGCTGGTCCTGTGCTCAGAGGAGACAAATTATTAAGCAATTTTTTCCATTTCTCAAGTCACAAGGACCTCAGCATGTTGACACTTCTGTCTCCTAGAACTGTACCAGTTAACTCTGGTGACCTTTTTCTCATATGTTGTTGGCTGGAATCTTGTGTCTGTAATCCAAAGTCCCATCTTAGGCTTTATGATTTTCTGCTATAGTTGTGTGAATTAGGGATGTGTCTGTCAGAAGCTCTTAAACTGACACAAATACATTACCTGAAGTACAAAAGTAGACAGATGGATGTTAATTATTTTTCAATATACAATGCAAGTGGAGGATTGGGTGCTTTCTCCACTTCTGCCTTCCTTATAAACTTATTATGGAAAAATTAACTTGACAGAAAGATCAGCAAAAGAACCATTTGGCTTAAGCTGCTGTGTCACCATCGGGTGAGGGCTGCCAGGAAAACATCTGAAGCACAGATGAACCACTAAAGCTCAGTCATGAGAGAAATGCATCTGATTTGATCCTTCTCTGATGCATCTCTTCAATCCTTCTCTCCCTCTCCTAGACACTCCCCAGACAAATAGTAATATAATGTAAAGCCATAGCAGTTGGTCTCTTTGTCTTAAATGACAGTATGGCTAACTTAGTACTGCTGTAGGAATGTTACGTTTAGTATTGATCATTCTGTCAATCTGATATAGTAACTTTGTGGGGAACTTTTTTGTTTGTGTGAATAATTCATAAAACAGGCTTTTAGTGCATCTGAAGCAATGTGACAGCAGATCAGGCCTTCGTTTCTGCAATATTCTTCATCTTTTCAATAAACCAAAAGGCAAGCAGACACAAGCTTCATCCCAAACTAGTTTCAAAGAAAAAATACCATCCAAGTATTACTTCACCTGCCAAGCGGAATTTCTATGGCACAGTAAGGCTTGGAAGTGGTGCTGCATGCCAGTGCAGTTTATGCATTCCACTGGCTAATAAGATTTCAGCTTTCCTTTTCTGAAAGGGCAGTATCATCTCCCTTAGGTTACAGATGAGAAGTCTTTATAAAGTCTGTTGACAACAGCTGGATATAAAGATGAGACAATTCAATTACTACTGTTAAAAGTTTCACATGGTGTAGCAGGAGTGGAAAACTTGGTCTTTCACCTTACTGCTGGTTGGAGCTAGCTAGGAAGAGAGGCAAGTGTCCAGAAGAAGGGAAGTGGAAGTTGCACCTCCTTGTCTTCAGTGTTCTTTGCTGCTTGCATAATAAGAGGACTTCTCCCATACATGGTGAAGGGAAGAGGATTCACATTTGACTATGTTGTAGTAGAAAATGTCTCTTTTTGCCTGTTCCATATCTTTGGCAAATATGAATAGGTGGAAGCAATGGGGTTTTCTTCTAGGAGATTGAGGCACTCTGGTGATTTTCAGCCTGCTTAAAAGGGTTCTGGAAAATTTCTCATGCACTAATCTGTATTGGGCATGAGGACGTTTTAGCCTCTTAAAGGAAAGCTGTTTTCATCTCCCAGAAAAATAAAGCAGCTTCAGAGGTTCCCCATATGCATAAGGGGTGGTTGGTCCAACTGGCTTTTTTTCGCACGCTCGTTTCTTGTAGTGCTTACTAGCCAGCCGCAAGGTGCCAGCTTATGTTCCTGTAACAGTGCAGGCTCTTCAAGGTCCCGGGTTGTCCACTGGCATTCCTTCAAGTGCTGCTCTCTGTTCAGCAGTCTGAGCTGGTTACTGGCGAGAGAAGCACATGCTAGGGACCAAAGACTGAGAGGAGGAGTGGGAAAGGGCATAGTAACATGGCTTACATAGTAAGCCATGTTTCCTAATTATACAAGAACTATTCCCAGGAACTAATTGCAGTAACTACCGATGAAAGTTTATACGATGGCAAATACCTTTGGGCAAGGTGAAAGCCAGCCTGTGGAGTTCATTTGTCCTTGATGGGTGCTGGGGTCCCCTAGGTACGGACGAACTACTTGCTGTGGTACCTTTAAGACTCCTTCTGGGGTTTGTGCTGGCTAAGACTAAGAAATGATACAAACCTGCTTTTATTCTCATTCTTCCCCATAGAGCTGCCACCACCACCTCCTCCCCCACCTGGAGAGGAGGCAAGTTTCTCCTCAAACTGTGCTTTTCCCCCACCCCCACCACCCTTTGAAGAGCCTTTTCCACCAGCCCCAGAAGATGTTTTTCCTTCTCCTCCTCCTCCTCCGCCACCGATGTTTGATGAAGGGCCTGTGAACAAGGTACCTGCCCCACAGGTGAGTGAGGTCAAGGGAAGTACAGTTTCTTGTGATGCTCTGTGAATTGGGACAGCTTCGCACTGCTCTCTGAACTCAGCAGCAGGAAGCCGTGAGATCTGGGAAAGCAGAAAATGCTACCACGCCACGGACCAGCATAGGTTAGGGTCAACTGGCTAGGCTGCATCTCTGCAGATGAAGGACCTGGGGTTCCTGGTGGACGGTGAGTTGAATGTGAGCCAGCAATGCACCCTTGTGGCAATAAAGGCCAACCACACGCTGGGCTGCGTTTGTGAGAGTGTAGTCAGCAGGACAAGGACAGTGATTATTCCTCTCTCTTTGGTGCTAGTGAGGCTGCGTCTTGGAAGCTCAACTGAAAACAGTTCTCCTAGTATATAACCCCAGAGGAATCCTGAACTAGATGCAATACAGCAAAGGGTCACAGCCATCATTGGGGGTTGGCGCATGTGATGCAAGAGCTGGGTTTGTTCAGCCTGCAGAAGAGGAGGCCAAGGCAGGGACCTAACTGCTGTCTGCTATAGCTAAAGGAGGGCTGGAGAGAAGACAAATTCTTACTGGGGCACAGCAAGAGAACATGGACACAAGTTGTGGCATGGGAAGTTCCTTTTGGACAGAAGAAAAACCTGTTCCCCTGCAAGGGTGGCCCAACACTGGCAGAGGTGCTCAGAGAGGCCGGGAAATCTGCGTCCTTGGGGATGTTCAGAAGTCACCTGGACAAGGGCCTGAGCTACCTGGTCTAGCTTGAGAGTCAACCCTGCTGTGAGGAGGGTGTTGGACTACAGACCACCAGATGTCTTTTCCCACCAAAATCTCTGTGACTTTTTGGGCTGTGCATTTTCCCACTGTTTGTAGACCTTGGAGACTGTGTCCTGTTCATCCTCAGCAACTTGCTATCCACTCAAAGCAAGGAGCGGATCTGTACCATAGTCCAAAGTATCAAAATCTGCTATTATAAGGGGATACACCCGGTTCTCTGGATGTTCCTGTAATGTGCTCTGCTCCCTCTTTCCTCATGGATGGTGGTATAGGTACGTGGCAAGATGAGCAGCATTGATCTTGAGATTGACTCACTGTCCGTAATGTTGGATGACATGGAGAAGAATGACCCCTTCAAATCCCGGGTGAGCTCTCCAGAATGTTGCAGGTGGAAGAAGAGATTTGCCGAACGGAGGTAGTGAGAAGGGTGCTACTGAAGATTAAAAATTCTGGATAAACCAGAGTGCAAAAGTGTACATGAAGGACCAGAAAGCGTAAATCTTGAAACTTACCAGGACTGCTAAATATATAACAGTATGGGAACTCTTAGCATTGGGGATTTGGGATAGCTGCTGACTTACTGCTATAGACAGCATATTTTTCTCTTCCACCCTGCTGATAACTGCCTGTTTCTCTCTGCTGCTTCCCATTACAGATACCTCCAGGATCCACAGGTTCTCTGGAGAAACCATCAGCCCCAAAAGCCCATGTGGAAATACCATCTGCACCCAGAGATACCCCTCATTCCTTTCCTTCCAAGTTCACTCCAAAGCCAAGTGGAAGCTCATCTTTCAAGCCCCCTGGAGTGGATTTGGCCCCCTCCCCAACCCCATGGGCAGCCCCACAGCAACACAAGGAGCCTGTGGCACCAATCCCTCAACCCCCCTCTCTCCCTCCTGCTCAGCCTACCCCTAAATTCACCCCACCCCCTGTTGCTAGCTCTCCTAAGTCTGGGTCCAAATCAGGTACCAATGTTCCCATGGCTCCCTCAAACTCTACAAGATATCCTACCTCACTTCAGACTCAGTTCACAGCCCCTTCACCTTCAGGTCCCTCCTCACGGCCACAGCCTCCCAATTTCTCCTATGCCCAGCAGAAGGAAAGACCTCAAGTGCAGGTGAAGCCACGTCCCACAGAACAACCTGCTGCTGCAAAAGACACGGTAAGGGATAAAGCCGTGGGACCAGTGTCTTTAGACAGGCACAGCATCACTGGGAGTGAAGCTGGAGGATGAGGAGGGAGGGTCTGTCCCATGCTAGGGGAAGCTGTTACCCATCTGAGAGAGAGAGATAACTAGAAACAGTGGTGGAGAGGAATAGGACTTCACGTAAAGGTGGAAAGAAGCAAGCACAGGGGATGGCAGATCATTCCCCAGAGAGAGACAGAGGAGAGGTAAAGGTGAGAGAAGTAGGTGTATTAGAGACAGGGTGGGAAGGAGTCTGTCTATATGTGTCCTTTGGGACTGAATGTTTCCTCTTCATGCAGCATAGACCCGCAGGCTCCAGTGCAGATCCACCTAGGGGAAACTCCTGTCTGACCATGAAGGAGGTAGAAGAGCTGGAGATGTTGACCCAGAAACTAATGAAGGATATGGAGCATCCGCCCGCAGCAGAGGCTGCTACTTCTGGTGCGTTCCCTCAGTGGACAGCAGTAAGACTAAGGCCTAGGTGGGTCTTCATCTCTCCTAATCCCTTTCTTCTTCCATTGACAGAGCTCTGCGGCTTCTGCCGGAAGCCCCTGTCACGAACCCAGCCGGCTGTGAGGGCCCTGGACTGCCTCTTCCATGTGGAATGCTTCACCTGCTTCAAATGTGAGAAGCAGCTGCAGGGGCAGCAGTTCTACAATGTGGATGAGAAGCCCTTCTGTGAGGACTGCTATGCTGTGAGTCACTGGGATGAAAGCTGCTAGAGAGAGCTGCGCGTGCTGTGGCTGCTCTCTCTTGCTTTCCATTTCTCCTTCCATCTTGCCCGTCTGTGGTGTAGCCTCCCAGAGGTGGGGGGACTGTATTAACGTGTCTTCCATGTTTCCTTTGGGCTTCAGGGGACCTTGGAAAAGTGCAGCGTCTGCAAACAGACCATCACAGACCGGATGCTGAAGGCCACTGGTAACTCATACCATCCCCAGTGTTTCACCTGCGTGATGTGCCATACCCCTCTTGAGGGGACCTCTTTTATTGTGGACCAGGCCAACCAGCCTCACTGTGTGGATGACTACCACAGGTATGGAGAGAGGACATGCGTGTGGTGTTTGAAAGAAGGCAGATTCCCTCACACCTGTTTAATTTTGCTGCCAGTATGGGGTTGGGTTGCCCATGTGGTCTGTTGGACGTGAAGTTAAAAGTGAGTCAGCAGTGTGACTTGTAGCAATTAAGGTCTTTTTTCCACCTGAACTTCTTTGTGATTTATTATTCTTCTGCTGCTAATACTATTGTACGGCAGTGAGGAACTTGCATTGAATGTCACCGTGGTGGTGATGGTCTCCTCCGTATTTTTGTGTGTTGCAGGAAGTATGCTCCACGCTGCTCAGTTTGTAGTGAGCCTATCATGCCAGAGCCTGGAAAGGATGAGACAGTGCGTGTGGTGGCACTGGAGAAAAATTTCCACATGAAATGCTACAAGTGTGAGGTAAGCCTGGTGGCCCCACTCCTCCCATCTCCCGCATGCCCATCACCAGCAACTGGGCACCTTTGTTGTCTGTCCTGACCAAACACTAAGGTGGTTTTGAGTGCATTTGGAGCATTTTTGAAGCAGGTTCAGAAAAAGATTAGGCATTCACAGACCACAGGTCCACGAACAAGGACTATGCAGTTGTAGTCTTTACCATCCCTAATACAGTAGCTGTGTATACTGGGGGAACACGCTGGGATCACAGAAGGGGCTTGCTCTTCCCTCAAAATACTATTTTCCATTAAGCACCATCAGAAACAGAGCAGTGGACTGTGAGCCGTTATCCTGACCCAGCGGGGCATTTCTTACGTCCTTGAATGTATTTACCCTGCTGTTGGCTGTCATTGAGCTCTCTCCCTCTTTTCTTTCCCTGTTCAGGACTGTGGGAAGCCCTTGTCCATTGAAGCAGACGAGAATGGGTGCTTTCCACTGGACGGGCACGTGCTGTGTATCAAATGTCACACCGCTCGTGCCAAAACGGCACGTTGAGGAGCTTGGAGTGGGCATACCCTTGAGACCCCTGCACTCAGTACTCTTCCCCTCCCCGCCATTGTCTTACCCCTCTGCCTGACAAGGCAGGTTGCTACCGATGGAGACTATGCCAGAGCAGTTCTTTACTCATGTAGGATTCACCGCTCCTAGACTTCACTCTGCACACCCACCAAGAAAGAATCTCTTCTCCTGTCACCACTTCCTGGCCACAGTGTATTCCAGGCTGGGGGCTATGATCAAGGTGAGTGTACAATCTCTGTTCTCTCAAGACTCTGGAGGAGGAAGACCAGACCTCCACCACTGCCTGGTGGAAACCGCAAGAACAACCCTGTGGTGGGAGCTGGGAGGGGCTGAGCATTCTTCTGTTCCACGGAGCCAAGAACGATGATTTGACCTTAGAAGGTGGAAACCTCCATCTCGGCACTTCTGTCTTCAATTTATTTTTTTTTTTTTTCTCATGCCACCTCATTATCAGGATGTCTTCCTCGGCCCCCTCCCTCACTCCTGGGTGTGGAGGCAGAACATATCGGGAACCTCTGTTACCATTGTTGGAAAAAGCGAACCTACTATAGCTTTTCTGTCTCTAATGGATTTTAATGGCTAACTGTCTTGTTGCTTTTTTTTTCCTTAGCCAGATTAAACTGGCAATGTTTGGAATCCTACTCTGTTCCTGAGTTTGGAAACTTATTTTTTAAAAAAAATCTTTTTCCTTCCCCCAAATTAATCATTTCCCAGTGTGGTTTCTGGACAGCCAGGCTGGGCACCAGAGTAGCAAAGTGGTCCAAAGAATGCATGTTTACAAATAAAGACTGTCATAAGGACGGGCAGCGCATGGTGAGGAGGCATCTCCGAGCATGGATGAGGATTCAGCAGACTGAGGAAAGTCTCCCTGTTCCAATAGGGATTCTTTCACTGCTGTCAGTGAAAGCTGCAGTGTAATTGCAGTGTACTGTCTGGCTCTAAGTGTTACTGCACTGAGCCCCACTTCCCTGGACTCGAAACTCAAACTGAACAAGCCTTTTGAATAACTACACTGTCCAACCACTGTTTGCATTCAATAAAATGTGGGGTTTTTTTCCATTAACACGTGTCTGCTGTATTTGTTTGACTACCCATGAGAATTGCTATCTTAAGCAGTAGAGAATGTATGTATAGTTGCTCTTCCACTTAACCTCCAGAGATGAGGAGTCTGAAAATGGCGCTTCCACCTCTTCGTCTCCTGCTCAAACAGTTTCGTTTCCTACTTTTCTGTGCCTGAAGAGTAGCTTTCATTTAAAGCGTGGAGGAGTACATTTCAGTGCAGCAAGATGGTCGTCTGCTTGATGGTGTCACGGGGAGGCAAGGTATAATCTACTTGCATCAGACTGGAATAAAGTGATCGGTTTGGTTGCTTTGCCTTAACTATTGCTACTCTGAAGATGTTTGTGCTTGATGTTTATGGTTTTAATCATGGTACTGTCTTGGTCAGTGCAGGTGAAACTCCTCTGTGTGGTAAGTGTCAATGCTTCTATGCTTCAACGACATGAAACCTACTCGTATTCTCTTGCCGGTTTTGACTCCTCTAATGACTCCTTGCAAATTTATCCAGTAAATGCTTTGAGGTTTCCTAAAGGATGAGGAAAGAAAAAACAAATTGTACATTTGCTTTCTTTTTCTTACCTGAGTTCTTGCTGGTTTGTAGGTGTTGGTTTGAGTGGTTGTTTCTAGATTATGTGATTAAAAGCTCATGCCCACAAATGCCAAGGAGCACAGAGAAGAGACAAAATGAGGGAGAGGAGCACCCCAACCCTGCTCCTCCCAGAGGTATCAGAGGATTATAGCCCTGGGGTCTGGGTATGAAACCTGCCCAACAGAGTCAATGGGAAGGGCTCTCTGGGTCACCTTGCAGATTAAGGGGAGGTTAGTCCTTCTGAGGGGCATGGGCTGCAGGGGAAGAGCAGTTGGGGACTGTACAGCACTTGTTATGGGTTGTGTAGGGGCAGGATCAAAGGCAGGAAAAGGGAGTGATCAAGGAGAGGAAGCAGCATGGGAAAACCTTGGGGGGGGAAAGGGCACAGAAGAGGCTGCTGCACATATATGGTACGCTGGTTGGGATGTACCCTGTGTGTTGTCAGTGTTATCTGTCCTGTTGTCTTAGTAAACTTAGCTTTTTTTTTTTTTTTTCTTGTGTGGAGGGACTCTCTTCAGTGCATGCGGAGGTCTAAGCGCCAGCAACTGGAAATACCCAAGTGCCGGCGTATTGCGTGGGTGTGTATGTCCCCATGTAATCACTAGCCTAAAAATCAAGTCTGAGTAGCTGGTGAGTGAGTAGGGCAAGAGACTTGATAGTTGTCATGGCTGCGTGTCTGGCAGGATGCTGGGGAGACCAGCCTGAGAGTCAGCTGCTAGAGCTCCCAGGAGGTCAAAGCTACCAGCTGCTCCTGGGTCTGGAAGTTGGCTGCTGGTAAGCCTGGACCGGCTACTGGAGAACAGTTTGCATCTGTGCGTGAGGTGTCTGGGAGAGCTGGGAGTCCTGGGGCCAGCTGCTAAATAGAGCCAACATCTAAGGCTAATTTCTGGAGGGGGTGTGTGTGTGTGTGCACGCACACAAGGTGTCTGAGTGCCTACCACTGGGACAGGGCTGCAGGCTGAGAGGACTCGCCTCCTGGTGCCCGCAGCCAAGGAGACCAGCTTGGGCTCCAGGGCATTAACCCAGCTGCTGGACAGCTGGTCTTAGACCCCAGAGGGATCCATAGTATATATGTATGTATTTCCTGCTAACAGGTTCATCCTGGTCAGCCAGAGAAGGGAGTAGGATCAGGCTGTTTGTGCTGTGCTTGCGTGACTGCTGTGTCTTCTGCCTCAGGCCAGTCATGTACAGTGTGTGTTCATATATATATATGCACATGTTATATATATGTATGTTTTATGTTTGTGAGTGTGTATTGGCAATACGTGCTCAGGCTTGCTACTGGCTGTACCTGAGGACATGGGAGTTGAGCAGCCTCTTCTCTGTCAGGCCAGCTCATTCAGCAGCTCCTCACAGTTGAAGTTGGAAGGGACCTCCCTGCTCAGAGCAGGGTCAACCACAGCGGGTTGCTGAGGAAGGTACCCTGTCAGTTTTTTAATATCTCCAAGGATGAGCACTCCACAGCCTCCCTAGGTAACCTGTTCCAGTGTTTAACAACTCTCACAGTAAGTTCTGTTTTTTTTCCTTACCTTCAAATGGAATTTATTGCATTTTGATAGGTTCCTACTGCTTCTTCTCCTTTCACTGGGTACCACTGAGGAGGGTCTGGCTTCCTCTTCTTCATTCCCTTCCACCAGATATTTATACACAATAAGAGCCACCCAAACCTTTTCCTCTTGAGGCTGAACAGTCCCAGCTCTCTCAGCCTTTCCTCATATGTCAGATGCCCTAATCCTTTCAAAATCACGGTGACCTTTCACTGGACTTGCTCCAGTAAGTCTGTGCCCTTCTTTGCACTAGGGAGCCCAAAATTGGAGAGAATGCTTCAGATGCCTGACCAATGCGGAATAAAGGGGTAGAATCACCTCCCTTCAGCTACATTTGCTAATGCAGCCCAGGTGCTGTTGGCCTCCTTTGCCACAAGGGCATGTTACTGGCTCAAGAGCAAATTACTGTTCACTGTGACCTGTGAGTCCTTTCTTGCAAAGTTGCCTTTCAGCCAGTCAGCACCCAGCATGTACGAGGGCTGTTCCTCCCCAGTTGCAGGACTCTCCATTTCCCCTTGTTCAACTTCACGAGTCTCATCTCTACCCATTGCTCCTGCCTATTAAGGTCCCTCTGAATGGCAGCACAACTGTCTCGTGTAGCGACAGCTCCCAATTTTCTATCACCTGCAAGGATATGCTAAAGTTTACATATGCATGACGCAAGCTCATAATCTTGTGCCAGCCTTATCAGGGCTTATCTTTTAGCCTAGATACCTGCCATGTAGGAACTTTATTATCTATACTTCATGTTGAAGACACTTATTACTAAGACTGAACTTACTGATACGCTAACAAGATTCACATAAGAGCTTATCTTGTCAGCTGTATTCCTTAGGATAGTTGCAGTGACTTGAGTAGCTGAGGTACGTTGTATAAGATGGTTCCTTGTGTATACTCTGCCGCTTCTCATGTTGAATAGAGACCAGCCATCTTGCTGGCAAGGTAAGTTGCAGGTCGTTAGATCTCCGCTTCTTAACCCATCTGTCATTTATGATTAAGCAAGACCTTCCCAGGAGCAGGCATGTTAATTTATAGTCTTAAGAATTCGGAGCATTATACAATTATGGAAACACTGATAGCTACCTACAGTAAGTAGCGGATTGCTGAATGACTAGCACTTACCTTCTTCACCAACCTAGAATTAGCTCAAGCACTGAAAAATACATCTCAAGGTGATTACTCTTGACAAAGACTTAGGAACATCAGACTGAGATGTTTCCTACCCCCCACCCTGGACAGTCTATTCTGCAGCAGAAGGAAGTATTACTCACATGCATTTCATCAAACTACAGCGGTACCTTCTAATACTTCTCACAGTTTAGGGGTAAACACAGGAGCTGTAAAAAGATAGACGTGGCTAATGCATGGATACAGCTATAATTGGGTTTACAGAAAAAAGTCTGAAGTGTCCAGCTACGTATGTATTCTTTAATCCTAATGCAACTGCATTTCCACATTAAATCTGCAGTTAAATGACAAAGACCATTGGCTGAAACAACTAAATATGGATGTAAGGACCCTGCTGGAACTTATATACATGCTAAAGTAAAGGTCACAATCCTATTTGAAATAAGCCAAAGAACTCCAACACAGCCTGCTCTGCCATAGGTTTATTTACAAAATATTATTTACAGTCTATAACTGGCTTGAGCTCTGATAAATAATATTTCCTCCACAGAGAAGGAATAAGACAGACCACCTACACATTTTTCTGTTACAAATACCCTATCCAGCCAAACAAGACTATTCTCTCTTTTAAAAAAGGGGCAGAAGAAAAATGGGTATCTAAAGGGTTTTCTGTCCA